TGATAAGGTAATGCTAAGGTTGGTCATTTTAGTATCAACACATAGACTTTATTTTTATTTATTTATTTTTGTGTGTGAGTATATTTTTATTTCTTTTGGGAAGAATTTGGGGGTCTGAAAATAACATATTGTTATTTTTATTTGTTTCTCAGACTGTGAGGTTAAGTAACTTTTCATATGTTTCTTGGTTATTTGTATGTGACTCTGAGGTTGTCACCTTTCCAGGACTTGCAGTGAGGACTGAGGGCCTTTTGCATGTGTGTCACTGGATGTATGTGGGCAAAGCAGTGTAAGTGTCAGGGCAGGGGGCTGGGGACCATTTTTCTTGGACCCTCACATGCTGTTGAAAGCCTACAACTGAAGCCTGCTGAAGCTTGACAACTAAGGCTCTGGGTAAAAGTGATTCAGACCAAGAAAGCCACCAGGCTCCAATTACGGAAGAGAGTCTTATGCTGAAAGGATGGGGTCTCTGGGCAGAACAGGGCTTTCCCGTAACAACCTTGACCTCCAGCTCATGGTTGTGACCTCGGCCCCGGGAAGAGCCTCCCTGCTGGGGACTCTATCTTCTCTATGAGGCTATAAGTCCATCACAACGAGTGTGAAACGAAGAGCGCTATTCCTAGAGGGAAGAACTAAACAGCCTGGCCTTCCGCCTTCTAGAACTGTGATTCTCCAACTTCAGCTATGATAAGAATCACCTGAGCAGCTTTTTTTTTTTTTTAATGGAGTTTCCCATGGTCTATCCCTTTGGGGTTCTGGGTACATGGGTCTGGGGTAGAGCCCAGGAATCTGACGTTTTAACAAACCCTTCAAGAATTCTGATGTAGGTGGTTCATTCTTTGGGAAACATCATCTACAAAATGGTGGGAATGTTCCCAGAGAAGGGTTAGCGATCACTCCCAACCATGCTTCCTTCACCTCAACAGCAGAGTGAGCGGCAGTGCCACTCCTAGGAGGGTTTAAGCAAGTCAGATAACACACCGAAAGAAGGAGGAAATGCCGCCCCGAGACTCGCAAGTGGATGATAAATGCCAAGGCCCATTTTTTTGTCTTTTTTACTTTGGCTAATAATATTAACCAATATTTTTCTTTTTCCTGGAGAATGTCACGCCCCACAGCATGACTTGCCATCCACAAAATGATGAGGCTTTCTCAGGTAAACTTTTCTCATGTAAATAGCTTTCAGGACCCGTCTTTCTCCCTCTACCTGCTGGTTCCTCTAAATACCATTTAGCTTCTAAGGCTCTAATTTCGAGGAAATTCCTTTTTCTCAGAATGAATGAGAGTCATCAAATGCTGAAACATAACTTTGGGAAAAGTCCATCCAGCACTATCACTCTATAGGCAGGGAAATGATGCCCAAGGAGGCCAGTTGGCTGACTAGTGACACAGACTGAGGCCACTCTTATAGGCATGGCTGTGGCCACGTGAGCAGGCCGCACAGATGCACAGTTCACAGAGCCCCCAGGAGGTCCTTTCTCCCTGCAGTGCCACATCACACAAGTAAGCTGACCCTGCAAGCATGTCTAGACTCTCTTCACTGGATTTCCCATTAAAGAGATGCTGAAACAATTTTTTTTTAAATCTCCAGAAATAAATGGATATATCATATAGCAAAAATACAGCAAAGAGGCTGGAAAAATCCACTGTGCACATGTTTTAAAAAGTTATAAATAAACAGGATAGTCAGAAACCAGATTAAACTTCCAAGTTGAAAACGGGAAGTGGAAGATGAAAGACCAGACCTACTCCTGACTCGTGCTCTGGTTCAATTGTAGAATCCTCTCCTGGCTACACAGCCCTGTAGACTTTGATAGAATTGTGGACTTTCAGGACTGGAAAAGATTGCAGAGGTCAGAGATTGTCTAGCCCAATTTCTCACTTTGGGGATGAGGAAACTGAGGCTAAGAGAAGGGAGGATGCTTGCCCGAGGTCACACAGCTCAGGTGTGTTAATCAACCAGGGCTTGTCTTCCAGCCAGTGAAGGAACCACAATGGATGGGTTATTTGGTCTCAGGCAAAGAAAACTTATTACCTAATAGTTTGATGTCTTTTCTGTATGGTATAAAAATCTTAAATGGATCACCTAGTAGGGAAATGTAATCACAGTTTTTAATTAACATAAAGTCTCTGCAACATTTTTTTTTGTTACATTACTTCCATACAGTGCAAATCAATTAGGCGAAATGGGCCAGTGGATGCAGAGAATGGCGGTCAGTCCCTGGACGGATAATTGCTCTGTGGCTGAGATTAACACCTTCTCATGCTATTAGGACCACTGATGAATCTTGTAGTCCTGATAAAGCCTACAATTTAGGGACTATCCATTCCAGCTGTCTCCATTTCTGCAGCCTCCTACATGCAAACAATTGTGAGCTAAGTGCTGCATTTAATTAAAGGCCCTTCCCATGTCATGGGTATAGTCACAGGAAAGACAAGAGACCTCGTTTATTTAAAACACACACACACACACACACACACACACACACACACACACACACACGTCTTACTGGTGATTAGTTAGCTTTAAAACAATCAGGATTAAAGTCAGGGAGACCACCAAAGAAGGATAAGATATTGATGACTTTTGAATTGGAAATTGCAATGTGTACATCATCTCTCCTTCTAGGAGTTAGTATCGAGTCACAGATGAGAAATACGACCCTGGGTTTCTTCTCACTTTAAAGGGTCATTTCATCAAAGATTGGCTTTCTCTGCCTCTTCCCAAAAGTCTGACAAAGCCTCTCACCCGAATTGTTTTTAACTACTAGATTCTGATGTGAGAGGCCTGAATCTGGTGATGGATGGGACAGGTTGAGTAAAGCATGGCCATAGGCATTCAGGTTGCTTATAATATCAAAAAGAGAGATTCATCTACAATGTAGCTTTGCTTCCAGTTTAACAAAGGGAAGCTTTTCCTGGGACAATTCTTACTGGAATAGGAGACAACTAAAAAAAAAAAAAAAAAAATCAAACAGGCAACAAATAATTTTACCATTACCAGGTAATATGTGTTAATTGCTCAGTTTATATACTCAGAGTGACATACCATTAGAGACTGTGTATGCATTGTAACCAGAGCATTAATAAATTTAAAATGTGCCTGTTAGGATGACAGCTCTGGAGGTGCAAAGGAATAACAGTTATCACTTGGCAGAAGCTGCTCTCACCCCATCTGCTGAGACTTTGCATACATTTTCAGCTTCCTGAGCAATGATTAGGCCTGTCAGAACCTCTTTAACCTTCTAACTGCTGGTCCCCACTGGCCGTAATTAGAGACTAATGAATTCAGAAGATGCAGGCCGTGAGGAAAACTGCCTTGACAGTTTGTGTACAAATTAAGCCCCAATTACTTCATGCATCTTTTGCATCGCTGATACAAGTCTCTGTTATTATTTTTGAATATGGTCATTTTAGCAGAAATGAAGAACTTGGCTAATGTATTTTGTCATTTTTATGGCTCGTCATAAAGAAAAAACATACTGGGCGGGTCATGAATATGTGAAATAAACTACAGCGGATTATAAAAAGAAATTAATTTTCCTCTTGGGAATACCCTGCCACCTTTTCATCCCCCCTGGTGGATATGCTTATTAATATGGTTATTGTTATTCAGATAATATCTGCCATCGAAGGAGGCTGACTAACTAGTAGGATGTCTGGTTTAGGTTTAGACCCTGAGTGAGGAGCATTTGGAAGTGAGATGTCCCTCATCTTTCCTCCTGGCTATAAAGGTCGCTTGGAGCACACTGGCAGGAAACTCTTTGTTGTCTGCCTTTACCTGCCCGTCCACTATCTGTGGCAATGGCAAAAGTTTGTAACTCCAAAAGTTATGACTTTAAACCAGTACGAAGGTTCAATGTCACATTCCCTTAAAAACTCTTAAAATGATATTTAATCTTGTCTCAGTCCCCACTGGTCAACCCAACCAGATAGTCAATCTCAATCATTTGGGGGACCCTTTCCCCTGCTCTATGAGGTCACACAAGAATCCTGGCTTATATGTTTCTAGAATGGCAGAGGAGTAGGTGGGCATTTCTGCATGATGGTCATTACCTTTACGGCCCTTCCTTCAGCTATAAGAGACTGCTGCTGAGATCTGGTCCTGCCATCTGTCTGTGGTCCCTGCTGCTCTGGGCAGCTCGGAGATCACTATGCCGGAGGTCCCCCCTCACTGAGAACCAGTGTCCTGCAGCCATCCCCCCCTGAAGTTCCTGTATGCTGAGGGACTCCTGTCTCTGTTCCCTGTTCCTGTCCTGCATCAGCCTCAGAGAATGTTTAAACTCTCCGTTCTGTCTGGCCACCTTTACCTCACCAGCTCAAAGCACTTCCCTCCATTCCCTCCCGTGGTAGGTAGAATAAGGCTGCCCCATGCCCAAGTCTACCTCCTAATCCCTAGAACCTGAGAATATATTATCTACCTTACATGGTAAAAGGGAATTTGCAGATGTGATAAGTTAAGGATCTTGAGATGAGGAGATTAGCTGGGTGGGCCCAATTTAATCACAAGAGTCCTTATAAGAGGGAGGCAGGAGGATTAGAATCAGGGGGAGGAGATGTGAAGACGGAGGCAAGGGGTTGGAGTGATGCAAGGAGGGGGCCGCAAGCTAAGGAATGCAGGAGGCCTCTAGAAGCTAAAACAGGCCAGGCAACTAACCCTTCCCTAAGTCTCCAGAAGGAACCAGCCCTGCTAACACTTTGACTGTAGACTTTGGACCTCCAAAACTGTAAGAGAGTAAACGTGTGTTGTTTTAAGCCACTAAATTTGTGGTGATTTGTTACAGCAGCAATAGGAAACAAATACACCTTCTTCTGTGGAAACATAAAGATTTGGGTTTGACTGGCTTCCCTGGTGGCGCAGTGGTTGAGAGTCCGTCTGCCGATGCAGGGGACACGGGTTCGTGCCCCGGTCTGGGAGGATCCCACATGCCGCAGAGCGGCTGGGCCCGTAAGCCATGGCCGCTGAGCCTGCGTGTCCAGAGCCTGTGCTCTGCAATGGGAAAGGCCACAACAGTGAGAGGCCCGCGTACTGCAAAAAAAAAAAAAAAAGAAGATTTGGGTTTGAGTTCCAACAATTATTATTCCAGTAAAAATAATTATCGCAATAATTTATCTTGTCTTATATTCTCTGGCTTCTCTAAGATTGAAATCAAACTATCCTCATGAAGTTGTTATGAGAATTAAAGGAATTAAAGAAACTAATCTGATATGTGGAACATGGTAGATAACTCAATGAAAAGTTGACCAAGTGCATCTCAAAACTGAGACTTTGTGTGAATATGAAACAAGGATGTCAGCCCCTTCCTGGTTTCCTCACAAGTGGATCTATTGATGGTTTCCACATGCAGGTTCCAGCCTATTTGTTTCTGAAAGGCTGGAAACAATAGTCTCTTGTCCAGTAGACTTGTACCTGACCTACTCTTTCAGGCTCTGGGTCCTGTGACCTAGACCCGTCTATTTGGTCTCAGGTCTCCCCTCCAGGTCTCTTTATCAACCAAAAATTATCTGGGCCCTGAATCTGCTGAGGAAGATTCTGATGCTTGAGTAGCTCTGAAGTTCTAGCTGAACATCCCTACTGTGTTGGCTTCAACTTAGAATGGGTATCTGCCTAAGGAATTCAACCTTAAGAGGAAGAAGCCTTAATTCTGTTTGCTTGCTCTGCTGAGGACTCCTGTTCTAGGACCAGAAGCCAAACCCTCAACCCAGCTAAGGCATAAGACCCCACCTTACTCTTATCCATCTCTCTTCTGGACTTATATCCTTCCCCTCTACCTCCAGATTTAACCATATACATCAGCCACCCTTGGAAAGATTCCTGGGTGAAAACAAAAAGCCAGCTCAATTCATAGCATTTGACCCACCTCTGAATGCCTTGCTGTTATACTCCAAGCAACTGATCAGATATCTTGGGGCCAACATTTTTCAGAATTAGGACCGAGGTTCTCTTACCCCATCAATGTTCCTGGACCACTGAATTATCCTCTCCATACCTACCTCAATAGTGGATTTCCCTCAGATCAGCAAGTTCTCATTCTGGATATTCCTCTCCTCATGTTCTATGTTGCCATCAGCATACTGTAATGGTGGCTTTGAGTTCTAATTATTAAAGAGAAAGGCTAAATAAAAACTTGGGCCATGGCCTTAACACTAACTCAGAAATTCACTTCACTAGAGAGATTTATTAAAAAGCAATACTTAGGGCAAGCATAATATTAATTTCTTTAACGCTATTCTATTTTATAATGGAAATGTGGCATGAATTGCTATGGCATAGCTTCTCCTGGCTCAAAGGGGTTCATGCTTGGTGGGACGCTCTCCATTATTCTCAGGGTGTGCAACAACAGATTAGGTTAACCGTATGAAATTGCTGACATTCAACTGTTTTTGACTTACAGAAACAGCAGTTTCATATGGTTCAACTTAATATCATGTTGTTCACTGAAGAGTAGAACAGGACACCATTAGTTGAATATGCTGAAAATTTGCCAGTGAAACTAACCCTGTGGACGCTCCTCTTTTCCTGAAACATGGTAGCAGGTCAGATTCAAAATTCCTATAGAGAAAGTAAAAACTGAAGTTGACGAAAGTTACATAATGAGTGTGACACTTTCAGACTTAGAGATCCTCTGTTTCTGGCTTTGCTGCCCATTAATACAAAACTCCTATTGCAGAATTGACTGCTGTTAGCTGTTGAAAGCCAATAAGAATTATAATCCTTCTCTACTTGGGTGCCATGCGAGAGTGGCCCAGGTGTGTGTGTTGATAAGTACACAGCTGTCCACAGAGGGTGTCTCATTAGCAAAGTTCCCTTTAGGTCTGTCTTCACTGATTTTGCACAAAAATTTCTCTAATCACCATTCAGGAGCTTTGCAAAAGACAGTCCATGAACACCTTATACAGTTCAATTTTAAACTCTTCTTAGTGGTTTCGATAGTTTACAGATAAAAATGATAAGATCTGTATACACAAGCGCAGCTAAGCAATGTCCAAAACAGCGTGATCTCGGAAACACTTATAGTACCCTCTCTTAGCAGCTGGAATTCCCATCATTTAATACTCTCCTTAATTAAGGGTTGGAGGGCTTAATAAAATTTCGGGTACGCCATATAGAAGAGGTACCACACAAATTTTTAACCAGATATGTATTTGTACCTTAGTGTGAGTTGTTTAGTATATCAGCTATTTTGATAAATCTGGTATGAGAGTACACAACACAATTAGGGTTAAGTAGACAGTGAGTGGAATGATCCATATCACAAGATAAGTTTAACTGGCATGTCATCATGGAGGGCCTATGGTCATTGGGGTTAAGGGCAGCGAGTCAAAGAAGAATGGAGATTCCAGAATAGTGGATATTCAATCGAGTTTTCCTGCATCACAGTTTGCATAAAGTTCTACTCTTTCTCATGGTGTGGGTTGCCTGCCCTATAAGAGCAGTATATTTCAGAGGAAAGGATCTTCTGAGCCATCTTGACACAGTTGGCTGGTATAAAGTCAAGGTTCTATGATAAATACCTATTAAGAATTTATGGGGGACACTGGCACCACGACACAAAGGAAACATTTGAAAACCCCCAGCCTAGATAAGGATCAAGGGTCCCATGTTATTCTAATTTGCATTCAAGTCATTTTTCTAGCGATACTTTTGGAGTTAGGTCTACAGAAGAATAGACTCAGACTAGTGGAAAAGTATGCCCAGAGACATGGCCTGCAGTGACAAGGTACAGATGGCCACTGACTCAGGGCTTCTCATAGACCTTGCCTTCCTGTGAACTCTGAACTTGGCCACTGCTTGATAGAATGGTAATGAGAAGTGTTAGAGTTGGTGGAGGGGTGGGGAATAGCTCCCCAGCCTTCTCCAGACAAGCTCTAGGGAGGGCTGAGAAGAAGAGGGAAAACTAAATGACACAGTCCACAGCTGTGTGCTAGATTCACAGAATGCAGAATGGAAAACCACCTTTTTTCCCTCTGTGATGGAGACACGGCAGGCTACCACTGCCCCACTACATACTTGGTACTTAACTGGCAACTTGAGACACTCATTATGTAATCCCATCTTCATGGTGATGGTCTTGAACTTCAAGAAGTGATAGTGTGAGCTGGGGTCAGAAGACTGCACCCCACTGACACCCAGAGCACCAGGTTCTTATACAGTCTCCAGGAATCCAGGTGTTATACCTTCATTCTCCCTCTAGGAAAAAGAAAATCGTTTCAGAAGATTTCTATTCAAATCTGGGATCATTAATTCATATGTTAGACTGACATTTAAGACTTCTGATAGACCTCAACTGCTGATGAGGTCCTGCAGTAATGACTCCGCCATGCTGTCTGGAATCTGGAAGGGCTTCTCTTTGTGTCTATTCTATTGCCCATCCTCCAGCTCTTGGCTCTGAGATTTCCACACTGAACCAACATAGGATCTCTTTCAGAGGAGATTCTGTGGTCAGTAGAAATGTAAAAATTCACATGGAAGCTTGGTAAACAACCTAAGATCCAAAGAGAGATGCGCCTGGCCCCTGCACACCCTGGCACTAACCTGCACAGAAGCATCATCCAATTCTAAGCTAACAGACTCCTCAAGCACTGGAGTCAAGTGGGAGGAGGCAACACGTGTGCAGGTGCTGAGCCACAGATTCCAATTCTATCCCAGCCACAGGAGGGACGAGCCAGGCGGCTTGCTACTGACTGGGTTGGAAGCTTTTAATCTCATTCATGCAATATTCATTTTTAGAACATACCACAGGATTTTCCTCAGAAAGTTTCATTCATTCTCTGGGTCTGCTTCTGAATTGTAGATCAAATTACCATGACTTCTTTTAGGGGGAGAATGTTAAGTTCACCCAGATGGGTTTAAATTCAACTGTGATTGGTTGGTAATGGTTTACTATGAAAAAGCAAAGAATGTTCATCACAATACTGGACCAACCTGAGCCCCAGTGTCCCATAACTGCCCTCACAAGGGCATCCTTTCCACAGCTGTTCAAGTCCATTGCCTTACCGTGTTGTTACAAGTTCCTTTATCTCACTAAAAGCATCCTCCTTAAAGGATGGAAACTGTTTATTCATCTGAGTATCTCTCCAGAAGTTCTGTGTTTAGCTATAGCAAAGTCTTCAAAACACATTGTAAAATCAAATTAAAATCAAATTAATATATATTCTTAACAATGAACATATTCTTAATAGTTAAAATGTATCTTTAACGTTTAAAATATATTCTCAGTAGTTAATTTCTAACGGGCTCCCTTTCACATAGCCCTGCTTGTACACACACAAACACTAAAATGATTTCCTAAAACAGAGCAGGTGATTTTCACAGCATCACTGCCCTCACAGTATAGAGTGTCTGAAGATAAGGACTGAGTGTTTTCTGTACTCTGTATTTGGTATAGTTCCTAGTTTATGGGACTATCCATTAATTCAGCAAACATTTATCTAGTGCCTTTGTAGGACTGGGAAGATATCAGTCACTAACAAAGTCTCTATTCTCATGGGGTTTGCATTTTAGCGTGTGGTGGGGAGGTGGGGGAGTGGGAAATAGATAATAAAGAAGCAAATAAGAAAACAGCAGATATTATAAAGTCTTAAAAAAAGATAATGGATGGTGACTAGATGTATGGAGAGTACCACTTTATATGAGGGTTCAGAACAGGCCTCTCAAAATCAAAATTAAATAAAACATTTGTTTGGTGTCCACATGACAAGAAGGAGCTAGCCACATGATCAATGTCTAGAGCAGGTGCATCCCAGAATCACAGGAAGAGGCAACAGCCAATGTGTCAGAGGATGGACAGGCTTTGAGTTGAGGGCTTGAAGGAAGGCCAGTGTGGCTGAAGCATCATGAACGATGAGGAAAAGTTCAGGAGACAAGTTTGGAGAAATGGGCAGGAACCAAATCACAGGGAGCATTGTGGGTCTTGAAACATGTTTGGATTTTTGCAAAGGCAGTAGAAGCCATTAGAAGTCTTAGGGAGGGAAGTGACTTTTGTTGTTGTGATCTGATTTTTGTTTTTCAAGATCATCCCAATGGCTATGTGGAGAATGGTGGGTGGGTAAGAGGAGAAACAGAGTGACTAGTTAGGGGGCTACTGCTGCAGGACCCCTGGGAGACAACTCCACCCGGGGGGCGGGGGTGGGCAGCCGAGCAGTGGTAACAACTGCTCTAACATCCTCAAGAAATGCAGCAAAAGGCTTTCTGCACAGAGGAACAGCTTGAACAGAGGAAGGAACACATGGAACACATCTGCAAGTTCTAAGAGCCTGAGAATTCAGTACATCTGGAGAAAAAGCTGTCAAACAAACAAAACAAACAAGTAGAACCAAAACATGCCAAACACATAGGTGTCAACAAGTAAAACAAGAAAAGCTTTTTAAAAAGATAGCGTAAACAGACCTAAGGGATCTAGAAAATGACCAGAATAAGTGTAGGCACACCCCATACACTTGGATTGGCAGATTCAACTAAGATGTCGATTCTCCCCCAAATTATTTTATAAATGTAATGCAATCCCAATTAATCCAAATGGTGTTTCTGGATGAGTAACTCTGCAAAAATCTCCTCCAAGTCGTGTGGAAGAATATCCATGTGCAAATATTGAAGATGTACACACCCACAGTTACATGTGCTAGCAGCCACGGTGTGTGCTAACAGGGACAAAGGAGCCCAGGGACTCTACATCTCCCCCTTTCTCCACCTCTCCTTCTCCTTCCAATCGAGGTTGTAAGAAAAGAGCGACTGTCCTTTCACACTTAGCCCTGCAGCAATATTTTGAAACTTTTTTGACCATGACCCATGTAAAGGAATATGATTTACATAAGGACACACATATATTATTGAAACAAAACTTTTATAAATAATACTCTGACTACATGTGACTTATTTTATTTTATTTTATTTTATTCTATTCTGTGGAACTCTATAAGAAATAATACACAGTCAGAGCCCTCTTAATTGAGTTCATGGTTCCCTAATGTGTCAGGATGTACAGTTTTTAAAAGCACTGCCCTTGGGACATCTGTCCTGCTTCCTGGTCCTCTAAGGTGATCTCATCACCAAACCCATCTTACTGGCCGAGCAGCAACTCCTTTGGCTGAAGTCTCACTCACTTTGCATAAATATGAAATTCAGAAAGTGCTTCCTTTAGATTTCCTTCTGGCCTGAGAATGGAGAGAACAAGTCTGTCTCAATTGATTGGGAAACAAAGGAAGGGAAGTGGAATTTGTGGTTTGTTTTTTTATATAATGATGATGGTGATTAAATAAAGCTCCCAGTCGTTGCTTGCCGGGAGCCGAGGCTCCCGTCTCTGCGTGATAGCTTTTCCTGTCCATTTGGTAGACCCATTCAGCTCTTCTATTCCATCAGTTTTTAAAAAACAGAAGGAGGATTTAAGAACATATTCAACATTATTTCATGGAAGACAGTAACCTTCTAATGCAAAATATTTGTTTTTAACTGCACAGATCTAAAGTGCCTTCTAAAAACAAAGTCCAAGCTACAACTCTGTTCTCGTGCCATAAAAATTTTAAATCACACTGATTACCCATCTGGAATATCTTCAAATTATTCATCTCTTAGTAGACTAATACTCCCTTCAGAAGCAAAACAAGTAAATATACAAAGAGAAACATGATTAATAATTTATTTGTGTTCTGTTTTTCAGGACAAGTCCCTGCTCATTCATGCTCTCCACTGAAAATGTTTCATAACTATACCCCAAAACAGGTATGATAAACTGTCCCCTGACTATCAGTTTAAAGGAAAGGGAGAGACATGAGAGCATGTGTGTGTGTGTGTGTGTGTGTGTGTGTATTTTTAAACACGTTTTACCAACTCTTACCTCTATTCTGTCGTATATCTAAGAAGTTCAGTTTTGCCTCAACAAATCAGTTTTATGGATAATCAGACAAATGTATTTGATTGAACAAGCCACACTGCTTACACTTAAGACAACATACTATTTTTTAAGAAGCTGTATCATATTAGGCTCATTGTTGCAGAATACCTGATATCCTACTAGACAAATTGCTAGACAAATTATGTACACTCAATCAAAATTGCACAGAGTCCCCTATGAATTGCCAGTAATTCATCTTTAATGCTTTTCTATCATTTTCTTTTCACCTCTGTCCCCTTTCAGCATCTTTTCCCCATCAACAACCTACAGGAACCTCTACTCCCTTGCTGCCACCCAAAGAGAAATCACCAGTTTCCTAGTAAAATTTTATATGCAGTTTCTATCATGAAAACTTCAAAATGTAATGTTTTCCTTCCTTGAAGTACATAAAGAGAAAAATCAGGCTATATCTTATATTGTTAGTTATCTATTCAGTATACATACCAATATTCTTTCTTGAGAATAGAACCCCAATATTCTTTGAAGTGGCAATATGGCTAATTAAATATTTATTTTCCCAGAATTCTTTGCATCTTAGAGTGACAATGTGACATATTTCAGGCCAACAAGCCCTAAACGGAAGTCTACTGGAAGTCTTCAGGGAAGCCTTTATTTTCTTGATTTTTAGGGAACAGAAATGGCTGGCACTGCCTTTCCATCTTCTTTTTGCCCTGAGCAAAAATGTGATGTCTGGAGCTGAAGCAACCTTCTTCAGATCATGAGGCAAAAAGCAAGAAAATCACAAAGGCATTAGCTCTGAGATCTCTGAGCCACTGAACCAACACTGGCAGCCCACTCCCTTCAGACTTCTATTTTTATGAGAAAAATGAAAAAACCTTATTTGTTTAAGCCATTGATTAGTCAGATATTCTGTTACTTGCATCCTAACTGAGGTACATGAAAGATTTCATAGTAAGTTCCACAGCCCAGCGACTCTGTTGGGGGTGCCTCAGGGGCTAAGGCGGAGAATACAGCAAAGGCTAAGCCAGCAGAGAAACTCTCCTTTTACTGGTATCTGATTTCCCCAGACTAGCTCACCTTTTATCTTTTATACTGAGGTTATAATTAAGAATTCATTTGAGAAAAATAAATTATTCTGTTTAAGACTCTATGTTTAAAACCACTGGATTAGATACACTTGGATCAGAAGATTTGTTGGCTTTATTATGGAAAAAAGCCTAAAGAAATGAATCATTACTAATGGGATTTTAGCAATATGATGTCTATAAGAGGAAGGGATTTTGATAACGAAAAACTAGCCTGGATCCTCTCTGATTACCTCTCTCTCTCTCTTCCCTGC